TGGTGCAGGCAAGTGGGCAAGTGGTGTGACTAAAGCAAGCCCATGTTGGAGAGAGTCTAGAAAGTACCAGTCCGGTCCAGCAAGTACCACGGGGGGAACTGTGTGCACCATGGGCCAGGGACACAAGGCAGACCAATGCAGCAGAGAAGTATAAATCAAGAGGCTGCGTCCATTCATTCATTCCTGCGGATGCCATGCGGAAGCGCTGCCTRGCAGCTTGTGCGAGGAGGTCTGCAGAGTGCCCGAAGACGAAGTGGGCAGAGGAGTAGAGTGCAGCGATAGGTAGTGGCAGCTAGCGCTGCCATAGCTGTAGCCTAGCATGTGTGTGTGTGAAGTGTGATACTGAGTGTTGCGTGTGGGACATCCAGGGTGATCCAGAGTGCGAACAGTGAGTTGTGTGGGCGCTCAGTCGCCATAGCCAGTTTGAAGAGAACTCTTATGTGGGTACGATATCTTGAGTACTGAGTGGGCGCCTGTCGCCAATTTGCTGTTTCGCTGTTTGCATACATGACAAGTTGAATAATCGTAGTGTGATTTCAAAATGCTCTTGAAATCTTTGTCCGTATTTTCCAAAAAGTAAATTTGAATGGAAAATACAACAATCCTCAGTGAAAGGCTCCGCATACTACGCAACGTCAGAGACAGGGACTCACTAGAACATGAAATGAATGTAGACAGTACTCCTGGCTCGGTGCATTCACAGAAATGAGTTTGGGGCTGCACAGCCAAACACAGCAAGAACGCTCTCTGTCAGAGTGTCCTCCCGCAGAATGTCAGAGTGTCCCCTCCCACGGCTGTCAGAGTGTCCTCCCACAGAGAGAAGGTCATGATGGCACAAGCACCATTGAACCCATACCCCACTCCAAGTAGCGGGGTATCATACCCCACTCCAAGTAGTGGGGTATGTAGTTCCACGGAAGTTGGGCAGGGTAGGGGGCGTTGTATTCGGGGGGAGGGATTTCTCAGCACCCCCTTTTCTTTTTTTTTTCTTTTTTTCTTTTTTTTTCTTTTCTTTTCTTTTTTTTTTTAATTCGGGGGGAGGGATTTCTCAGCACCTTTCTTGAACCAAAAAAACAAAAACGAAAGTCTTTTGCATTTTATACAACTAAGAACAACCGCGCATCTCAGAGGTCGCGTGGGGTCACACACGTTTAGCTACCGTCTTCACCCGAATACAACGTACCGTTATGATAGCTGTATTTGAGGCAACATTGAGTCTAGATGCAGCAATAATGAACGTACGTTGTATTCGGGTGAAGACGGTAGTTCATCGTTGAACTGGCTCAACGGTGTATGTGGGACTTGGCCCCCCCGGGGCGTCAGTCCGGTTGCTTATCACCCGCAAGCAGAAAACAGATGGAGTCGAAGAGCGAAGAGGCGGGTGTTGGGGGGCTATCATCAGTCACCTCGGCTAGGACGTAGGTCCACACTCCAATACATTGTCGCCATGTTCATTCAAAATTAAATTTACCGAATGCAATTACAGTTATGGGTAAGAAGTACTAAGAACTCAAGAACTGAATCCTGGCAGAAATTTCCCAAATGCAATTTTACAGTTATGGGTAAGAACT